TTTTTAAAAATGTTAAGTGATTTATAAATGCTTTAAAACAAATAAATAGAACTTGGTTTAATTTTTTTTTGCATTTTATCTTGCTCACAAAATTGCAGAGCTAGCTTTCATAATGCCATCGTTAGGAAAATGCAACTAGTAATTAATTGCTCTTGCGCCTTTGAGAGAGGTCACTGTTTTTGACTAGCCCCCTCCAGGCCAGTCCATCAAAGTGTGTGTGTGATTGCATTCCGCTACAGAAGACAAGGATTGTTTAAGTGCAAGTGATTCCATAGGAAACAAAGGGGAGACCTGAGGTACATTTGGCCACTTGTCTGTAGGCATTGTGTGTATTGATTAGACAATGAAAATGGTAAGCTGGCCAATATTGCACAATGGACAAATCTCCAATTTTGCTCTCTGGGGCCAGTCCTAGTGTTAGGCAGAGGAAACAAGTGATTTGAGGTATCATGAAAAGGCAACAAATTGATAGTTACTTAATTTATCACTGCATTTCATGTTTTAATTGTTGTCAGAATGGAGAAGAGTTGCTTGTGGGATCTTCTACCTCAGGTGTCAAAATACATTGTCTGGCTTTGGGCACTAAGAACTTTGACTTACATCATTTGCAGCTCAACCTCAGGCAGCAAACTGCCTTGAACTGGCATGGGTGTCTCTGCTGCTGAGCAAAGTCAGTGATTAATGAACAGCTACTGGAATGAAAACGCTGCTCTATCAGGAACTAGCGGACAGCTCCCCCCCCCCCCCCCCCCGGATTTGAAGAAGGGACAGGAAAGGGAGGAGTGATGCAATGAGAAAACTGTAATAATAATAGAGGGAGAGAGAGGGTGATATAAACTCCATTTGGCCAAACCTCCCTCACTTAATGCTTCTCTAGTGGAGTAATAAGATACCTTCAGCGTTATAAATAGTAGCACAGATGTTGACAGAAAAATGCTCCCTTAATTACCATACAACTGCTTTACTTGAGTGAACCGTTTAAAGCGGCCTCCAAAGGAAGCTCACTCAAGCAATTCCGCAGATTACAGCTAATGAACAATATTTCCTCGCTCCTATTTAGTGCTCATTAAAATGTAAAAGTCTTTCATTTTCAACAGGCACACAATAAATAATTTCTCCCCCTTCTCTCTACTCTGAGGAACAAGGCTAAAGGAAGGAGGGAAAGAGGTTACGAAGTGGGATTGGGAGCTGAGGGGCCAGATATGTGCACTGGAAAGCAGTGATCCGTTCATTGAGGACTCCTCCCCACCCTTAATGTTCTTGCAGAGCTGGAGATGTGGCCTGTCTGAGATTCAAGTGTGCAGGCAGTTCACAAAGCATGACCGGATAGTTAAGAGCAGGGGTCAGCAAACTTCTTCAGCAAGGGCCAGTCCACTGTTCCTCAGACCTTGTGGGGGGCCAGACTATATTTGGGGGGGGGATGATGCAAGAGCAACATGAGCCCTGGTGGCTGCTTACCTGTGTCTTGTGAGTGGCAGGGGCTGGCAGCGGCGGCAGCGGAGGGATGATGAGTGGCACACGAAAGGGCTCCAAAGACGGGCTACTTAAAATGGTGGCTGCTTGAGTGCTGCTGCTGCTGGCACCAACAAAGCCCAGCCCCCTTCCTCCTCTAGGCAGAGCAGGGAGAAGCCAGGAGGAGGGAGGGAGGAGGCGCTGCCACCACCGCTGCCGCTGTGTGAGGGAGAAAGAACACATGTACTTGCGATCCACGTGGCAATTCCCAGACAGTTTGCGGGCTGGATCCAGAAGGCAATTGGGCCTGATCCGGCCCACGGACCTTAGTTTGCCTACCCATGGTTTAGAGGGCTATTCCATGTCCGGTGCCTAGGGCTGCCATGTTGTCTTTTTCTGGGGTAAAATTTCTGTCCGGGTGGATTTTTTAAATTTGCCAAAATGGCTCTGGCTATACTTTCTGGATGAGACATAGGCATAACTGGTGGTTGAATATTTGCTTTCCTCCTCTCTTCTGACGTCCCCTCAGCAATATAGCGCAGCTTCTATAGCCTACATATAGGAGGGGTATTTAAAATGAGAGTCGTCATAGCGCCCTGAAGACTGTATTCAAGGCTGTTCCCATCCACCCTCTTTACATTGTTCTTAAAACAATCCTGTGAGGCAGAGGTTAGGCAGAAAAAACATGGCTGGTTCAAGACTCTCCAGCGAACATGGTGGCCAAGTAGCAATTTGAATCCAGTTTCCCTTTCACTCCTCCAAGTTCCAGCCCATCAACCCCTCACCATTAAACGGCATTCACTGTGTAATCTACTACATATTTTGGAAAGTTGCTTGTTTTATGAATGCATCTGGACTCTGCTTAAGATACAGTAACCAAATTTCCCTCCCCTCAGCACTTGCACATCTGAAAATGGAATATTGCAGGGAAGCCACAATTTCAAGGCATGGTGTAATTGGTTTGAACAAGGGTCTACCACCCTAAAATCCATTTTTAGATGAAGGTGTTGTTTATATTTTTAGGAATAAGTAAATAAATAATGCAAGGAAAAAGATTTGCAGAGAGATGTATAATCTTTACATTTGAATGTTAGCATTGCCAGCTTTCCAGCTGGTCTCCATAGTGTCGGTTCACTTGTGTGGTTATTAGTGAGTGATCATGCTCCTTTCTATCCTGTGGAAAAGTCACCTGCTGATCACTGCTTTTAAGGCACAGGAACAGGTCATGCCTGTTTGTTTTAACTAGGTTGACCCTAGTTAACATTGTGGTGATTGATTAACCATTTTAACTACTTAAAAAAAATTAAGTTGCAATCATACGCTCATTTACTTCAGAGTAAATCCCACTAAACTCACTGGAGCTTATTTCCAATTAAAGACGCATAGGATCAGATAGCAGATATGTAACGTTGAATATGTGTTCACTATTTAAGTAGACCCTGAAAGAAGTGGCAAGGAAAAATGCTTGAACAAGTGCGGGGATCTACAAACAGGTTCTACATATCAGGAACTAATAGATTGGCCTGCTCTTATGCAGCCTGATAAGCAGATGTTAGGAAGTGAAGATTTCCAGAGCATGGAGGCAAACATGTCAAGAGCTTCATATCAAACTGCTCTTAAAAAGAACTAGGATGACTGGATGAGAAGTTGGCAATCCTCATTGCACAAAAAAATATGGATGCTCCCATTCCTCTATTTTTTTCAATATTCCGCCTCACTTTGTGCCTTTCCCAGCTGCTTTTCCCTGCCTTTAGCCATTTTATCACATTGTAAGAAAAATAAACACCAGCACTGAGTCTATATTGCTTATTATTACATTTACATCTCAGCTTTTCTCCAAGGCGCTCAAAGTGGCATGTATCCAGCTCCCGCTTTCCATTTCACCCTCACAGCAACCCTCCAAGGTAGGGTAGACTGAAATAGTGACTGGCCCAGGGTCGCCCAGTAAGTTTCGTGACTGAGTAGGTGTTTGAACCTGGACCTGGTCTCCCAGGTCCTAGTCCGGCACTCTAACCACTAAACCAAACTGGCTAAAGAGCTGCACACTCTTGCTTCATAGGCCAGTTCTATAACATTCCCCTTTGCTGAAGCGTATTCAGTGTGTGTGGGGTTTGTTTTTAGTTCCCTCTAATTCCTTCCTCATTTAAACAAGGCAAATCTGGTACTGCTTATTTGCTGTGCGGCCTTACAGTACTGGTGTTTTCACCAGGCTGTACTTGGCTTTTAACTAAGGTCATTTGGAAATGGTCTTCAACACCCAGCTCCTTTGCTTTTTAATGCTTGCCAATTTAGCGTTGTATTCAAAGTGATTAATTAGTTTGTGGTGAAGGTTTATTAGGTAATCTTTCTGTCAATCAACATTCAGTGTGATCTCAGTGCTGAGCAGAGAACATCAAGTGATTTTATGAAGATAGGGGAAATGATGTTTTCATTGCATACAAAAACGGAGACACATGCAGTGGTGGAGGGTGGGGGGCAAAATCACATGAAAGGCTCAGAAAGGATTTTCCTCCTTTAGAATCATGAGAAAAGGGACATTTGTTTTCTGTTTGTATTAATTTGACCTTCCACGAGGTTTTATCCATCTGATTTTCAATTGGTTTATACTTTGTACATGAACAGACAAATTCTAACTATAGAAAGCCAGAGTAATTTAGGCCAACATAATTTACTCCAGTGGAAGGTACCCCTATTCCAGACTTCATTCAGGACCCTCTGGGAGGGGCTACTGCTGGCTGAGCTGGTGGGAGAATGAGGGCCTAGGTTTTGAGGATTGGGCCCTAGGTAACATGACCAAGGGGCGCGGGTGGCGCTGTGAGTTAAACCACAGAGCCTAGGACTTGCCGATCAGAAGGTCAGCAGTTTGAATCCCCGCGATGGGGTGAGCTCCCGTTGCTTGGTCCCTGCTCCTGCCAACCTAGCAGTTCGAAAGCACGTCAAAGTGCAAGTAGATAAATAGGTACTGCTCCAGTGGGAAGGTAAACGGCATTTCTGTGTGCTGTGCTGGTTCACCAGAAGCGGCTTAGTCATGCTGGCCACATGACCCGGAAGTTGTACGCTGGCTCCCTCGGCCAATAAAGTGAGATGAGCTCCGCAACCCCAGAGTCGGCCACAACTGGACCTAATGGTCAGGGGTCCCTTTACCTTTAACATGACCAAGGTGTACATAAGTCTCTCTCTTTCCACCCCCACCCTGCCTCCAGAACACCCCTTTGGGGACTTAATCCCCTGTAAATTACACAAAGCTAAGTTCCACTGGCTCAGCCGAGATGAGAGACTTATGTCAGTGAATCCCCCCGCTCAAAAAAACAACAAAATTTATTTCATGTGAGACTTTCCACTTTTGAATTTTCTTCTAAGCCAGATTGACTAGTGATACTAGGAAACAAATGATAATGATATTAATGAATTATTTTATTATTTATATGCTGCCCATCTGACTGGGTTACTCTGAGTGGCTTCCAACAAATTGAAACACAGTCATACACCAAACATTAAAAACTTCCCTATACAGGGCTGCCTTCCATTATCTTCTAAAAGTCGGATACCTTCTGTTGTGACTCTGCTTGTGTGTTGTTTGATAATCTGGAGCTATCGATTTGTAGGCACCAGTAGTGCATCTGTGCTCCTACTGTGTTGCACGCTGGTCTAAAGGAGAAAAGTGGGGAGGGATGGTCCTGTCTTTGGACATCCTTGGATGTTCTTCTAGGCAAGCAAAATCCCTGCATGAAGCAAAGAGGTGTGTCATTAGAGAAGGGCTCTTGCTTAGCCATTTTCTGACATTCTACTTTTTTCTATGTGGTGAGTTCTGAATACACGCCAACACAAGAGCATTCAGTCAAGCAGTCTCCTGCCTACAGGATGGCCCAGACTCCATGTAAGCCCCAGACTGTAAACTCATAGGGTGCGTGTAAAGGACAAAACAGAAAAGGGCAGGGAACAGAAATCATCAGATCCAAATGTGTGAGAGTATTCCATAAATACTGCCCCTATATTCATGCTTATTCATGTAAAACAAGCTCCAATGCCCAGTGATATGGGTTGTAATGTTTTCTGTTTTTATTGGAACAATGAATAGATACCAACTGCAAACAAATATTATTCAAGCATGGCAGTTCAAAGTGTTCAGCTTTTGGCTGTTTACTAAATACAATTAAAACACACAGGCTATTTTAGACCACATCAGAAATTTTCTGTTGCATACCACTCTATGCAAATTGCATAGGAAAATTTCCCAAATATTTTCCGATACACATTTTTTCAGGAAAATCACTTCACTGCCAGTGCTTTTAAATGCATATATAGTAGAAATTAACTGGTGATTGTTTTCATCTTCATTCTTGCTAAATTTTTGCCTGCCATGCATAGCAGCCTTGCCAGGAGGGGGGGAAATCAGCAGCTCTAGGTATTTACAATTAGATGACTATTACATTTACCTTTACAAAAGCTTTGCAATAAAAGAAGTGAGTTAACCCACACATGCAGCTTCTAACATTGAATGGGCACATTACCAGAGCAGGAAAAAGTAGGGAAAATATAGAACAGTCTTATTGCTCATATGTATTAAGACCAGGACTGATAAAAGCAAATACATTTCCCTTTTTGGATTCCTTCATAAAGATGTACCACAGACAGCATGTTGTCCCTGGGTAGGCAGGAGATGTTGCTACTCTTTGCATGCCTGTAGTAGATAGATGGTACGTATGGCAATCTAACTGCAACATCCTGCCTGAATATGAACAACAGATTTGTCAGTGTGTGACAGGCTGACAGCCCAGCTCCCAGCTGCTTGTCCACTGTTGTTAAATCAGTACCTTGTCTAAGTGTTCACCAAAGAGGCAATCTGCTTCCTCCATTCGTACAGGCAGGTTGCCAGTTAAAAACAAGTAATGGCTTTAGGCTGCAGTGCCATAATGCATTGAAAAGATGCAATCTAAACCTTTGTGTGCTCCTTAGGCAACACATAGCAGCACTGGAAGTTCAAACTTTTTTTTTCAAAACAGCAAAGACAAGTCTAAATGGAATCAATGAAAGGCAACCATGAGAATTTAAAATCAGTGATTTAAATAATCGAGGAAAGAAAGTGCAGTTTGATTTGGAATCGGGGAAAGAGCCATATCTAATGTCAGTAAAGGATGAATTGCATTCTTTGTGAAATGATCATTGTGTATAAAAATTATTTCTAGTCTGGAATGTGGCATGCTAAACTTAAACTCGAAAAAAATGTAAAATACAAAGTGGATCATGCAGTTACATTAAATTTGGGTTGACACAGAATTACTTGCTGTTTTCTGTGAACATTTTTTTTTTTTTTGCAATGATATAAAGCACTTCTTTTTTCTGGTGCTTTTTGGCAATCCTTGCATAAATGTTCGCTCATTTCTTGAAATTGCTTTCACTTTCAGTGTTGCTCATTTGCCTTCAGTGATGCCAGTCTGAAGCCAAATCTGATTGGCTATGATCATATTTCCTAATGCCCAATGATGTCACTATGTCAGACATAGCAATATAACATTCTTTTGTTTTCCTAGTAGGTGGGATCATTCCTGTGCTGAATCTAGGGAAATGAACGGGGGTGGACACGGGGGCGGACTTTGGTATTTCAAATTTCAGCAGCGCCCTGTCTGAGGCCAAAATTTGGCGCCCCAGCACTTCTCATCTGCTCAATTCACTATTTCATAGCTGTGACGCCCTGCAGCGCTCCCTAGGCTTAGTGCCCACTGCAGCAGAATCAGTTGTGCTGCCGTAAATCTGGTGGGCAAGCAGCAGCTAGTGGAGAAAGCAATACTGATGAAGCAATACTCAAAGGGAACAAAAATGGAATGATCATGCAAAGTTTTACAGGAAATTCAGTACTTTCACAATTAAAGTGGGATTTCTCTTCCATGCTTTAACAAGTTTTGATCCAAAAATATCCAGTGCAGATTTTTAAAAAATGTTCTCTCTCTTTGGCCTCAAATGCCTTTAAAATTCAGAATGGAAGCATTGCTGAAACTATGCTCACGATAAATTGGGAAAATATAAGTATACAAACCAGTCTCAAAATGTGAGATGCTACTAAAATTTGTTAGACAAGACCCATTGTGGCAGAACTCCATACGTGGCTGTAGCACGTCAGTCAAAGGCAGCCACAAAGCAGCCCTTGACATAACGATCAATTATTGGAGAACCAAGAAGGATTTACACCATAGATTGCAACATCTCATTCTTAGCAGTTATGGTCCGTTGAGTCATAAATAAGATATATTTAAGAGTCCCTAAGTACACATTTTTACAACAGACCCTTTTGGCTCAGGAGGAGCCACTAAAAGCTATTGAACCAATAATCACCACAGTCTTCATTCAGGTTCACTGTAGATTGTAGAATTTACCATGGCGTTAACAGGTATCCTGGTATTAGCTCCGTGTTCAGTTAGATGGGCATGGTTTAGCTTTCAGATTTGCATCTCCATCATCATTGGAACACTACAAAATACTCTCTTGTGCTACAAGAGATTTTTCATAGTCAGCAATGTAGCATCGGACAAAGAATTTTCTTGCTGAATGGTAAAGATGGCCCTCTCTTTTTAAATAAATTTTCAGCTGCTATTAATAATAACTATAAAGTCTGAACTTAAGTAACTCACACTCTTCCTTGCCCCAGATACTACAACAATACATTCAGTATTTAAAGTTTTCTTCAATGCTCTGGTTGTTAACAAAGTGATTTAGATGTAAACTCAAATGATTTCATAAGGCTTCTATGCAATATTTTGCAATAAAAAAAAATCTGTTGAAGTTTTCCACAGAAGGAGGACAACTAAAATGAGCATGAGGATGGAGATGCAGCATCTCTTTACTTACGTTTTGATGTAGGGAATAATTTGGCCATTCACTGTAATTAGGTGTTTGCCTTAGAATCAATGTGAATTAAAATTGATTTTGTGTTGTACTTAATTTGTACAATTTAGACCTCCAAATTGTTTCTTTTTAGCCCTTTCTTTCTCTCCACCACCACTCTGGAAATTCCTGGCTTCTGTCCTCCTTCAGCATTTTGATGTAAAGTTTTGAACAGCTGGCAACTTTTCTTGTTGCTTGGATGTTTTATCTACTGAGCTGCTACAGCTGTCCCTGAGTCTACAGCTTGCCACTGAGTTATCCCTGTATTTGCTGTGTAAGGCAAGCATCTGTGGAACAGCCAGTAGTGTAACGGAAGAGAAACACAAGAAAACACACTTCTGCCACTTTTCCCAGGCCATTTCTAGTGTTCTTGCTAGCATGTAGAACGGGCAGCTTTCTGTTTTAAAAATTCCAGCCTTCTAGGTAGGAGAGGCACTGAGACTAGGAATAAAAATCTGGATGGTCCAAGCACAGGGTCCAAAAGGTTACTGGGTTTTCATACATAAACACTGCCAGACCTGACAGAGCAATTGCATGGGCCAGTTGGCAATTGTCATGATGGGTCAAGAACAGGGATAGGGAACCTGCAGCCTTTCAGATGCTGTTGGATCCAGCTCCCATCAGCCCCAGTCATCATAGCCAATAGTTAGGGATGCTGGGAGCTGAGCCTGGCAACTTATGGAAGGCTACAGGTTCCCCACTTCAGGTCAAGAAGATCCTAATAGGCTTCAGTTATGGATGTACATGTGGCAGCCCATCAGTGTGCAAATGGTACTCCGCTTGCATAGCAGTTTCCAAATGGTTGGGCAACTCTGCACATAGAAAGCAATTTTACGTGTGGCGCTTTCCCTCCATTGAAATGATTATGGGAGCTCTTGTTACCAGAGAGATATTGGTGTGGTGGACTAGAACATTCCTCCCTGACCTGATGCATTCAAAACATTGTTGGACCAGAACTTCCATTATTCCTGACCATTGGCCATGCTGGTTGGGATTTTTGGGAAATGGAACTCAGAACTTCTGGAGGGTACGAGGTTGGGGAAAGCATGCGTATTAACCCCCCCCCCCCAAAAAAAAATGTATGTTCAGAATTCTTATCCATTTTAGTGGATTGTAATCTACAACTGTGTAACCACTTGGAAGCAAGCCCCATTGAACCCAATGAAATTTCTAAGTAGACATATATAGGATTGTACTCTTAGTTACTGAATGGTTTCACAACACTGTAGTGGAGAAGGCAAAGTACACAAATATAATATTAAAAGCAAAAAATTGTTCCTGAAATGGTATTTATACCAGATGAAACTCTGATTCACTAAATAACAACTTGCTGGACCGATAATAGTATAATAAGAAATAGGAATATTTTTTTTCTTCTGTTTTTCTTCTCAGAAATCCTTTTTATTTTTAAGCAGACAATTTTACTTATAGCTTTACAGCAACCCAGATTTAGAGATAATTTCCTGTGAGCTTGATATTATGAATCCTATTTAAGTATGCTTAAGATCTCTCACTTAGAGTTAAGTGGCAGAAGAAAAGGCAAAATTGTCTTTGCAGATGTTGAGAAGAAATTCATTGCAGGCAATCATCATTTAATATCCAGTGCTGACTTTTTGAACAAGTGCTTTCGCTAAATGATAAATCAAATGAGTTGGCACTAACAATAATCTCTTAGAATATGAATGAGAAAAGCAAGAATATTAAAACAATAGAAACATTAACACACAAAACCCAGCCATTAGGAAAGGAATGGCATTGGGAAAATTAGCTGTTTCTTTTAGTGCATCTTTCTGCAACAATGCCTGGAGCACACACATTCTTAGTGGGATTCTTAGCATGCGCATTCATGCATGTAAATGAGTGTTGTCTGTACAACTCCCCAACTGGCCAACCCAATCCAATAGGTAGGGCTATGTGCACTGCTTAGGGGGGGTGGTGGTTCATTTTTTAAATATCTACTAATTAAGTTAGCCAGGATTGGATTCATTGCTTGCCCCTGCCCTTTTATACTAAGCAAATGATTGGTGGGGTTTCAGCATTGCTGTTGTTTTTCATAAAACAACAACATACATTTGTTTTCTAGCCCATATCCAAAAACCTAGTAGCACACATTTTGAGAATCCCGCTCTTAAGAGCAACTTGCCTTGCTGACAAATCACGTTTCCCCTGGTGCAAGAGACAGCAATGTGTCCCCCCAAATGGAGGGTGGGATTGTTGGGTGTCCAACAGGGATTAGTGCACATTTCTCTGAGCTGGAATGTGCATAGACTTGCACATATGTGGGCCCCTAGTCAGATTTATATGTTGGATCCAGAACTCTCCATGTTAGGTCTGGCTGGGGCTGATGGGAGTTGTAGTCCTAAACATCTGGAGAGCACCATGTTGACTATCCCAGTCTACGCTGGTGGGCAGTGGCCCAACAAGGTTTCAGGCTCGGGTGTCTCCTAGCCACATCTGAAAATGCCAGGGTTTGAACCCGCAACCATTTGCATCAAAAGCATATGCTGTGTCACTGAACTATGGCGCTTCTCCATGACAGGGGTTGTGCACACACTGGCATGGGTATTGACAGGATGTGTGTGTGTTTGTGCAGGAGGAAAGAAAAAAACTGAAGCAGGGAGCAGGCTAACTTCTCAAAAATGAGAACAGTGCCTGGACATCGTGTCTCAAATCTCAGGTTTTACAAATGCTAGATTTTTTTTTAAAGAAAGAAAGCTGGGAATCTGGGGATTATGGTTCATCTGAGGAAGGATTCCCTCTTCCATTAGGATGCCCATGCACACTGCATTGGCTTCTCAATCAGGCTTTCAGCCCATGTAAAACTCTCTCTCTCTCTCTCTCTCTCTCTCTCTCTCTCTCTCTCTCTCTCAAAATGGAACAGCCCTGCTGAATCATCTCAAGGATCCCTCTAGTACCCCATTTCATGTAATGGCTAGCCTGTGGTTTGTAACCTACCATCTGGCATACAACGAGATAGATGTCCTTCTGTTGGGTTGGGTGGATTGGCTACGGTCTGAACAAAACTGGCCTCCCAAAATGTTCTCTCCAAATTGCAAGAGGTGAAATTTGGGTGGTTAGGTAGATTCACCAGATATTCTCTGGTGGGATGCGGGAAGAGTTCTCCAAAAGTTTTTAGATGGTTGAAAAACAAAACTCACAGGAAATTTCTCAGAGAATTCCTTTCCAATGAATTTTGATTAGTTGTGCCAAACATTCTTCCACTTAGTGACACAGTTTGTGTGTTCACTAAATATTCTCTCTGTGTGTTTGTACATGTGTGTGGAAAAGAGTCTGAAAAAGAAAAGAAAAAAAACAACCCCAGATTTGTCACGTAATGTTCAAATCTTTTATTTAAAAGCCCCCAAAACACCTTGCTTCTGAGAAGGGCTTCTTCTCTTCTTCTTCCTCCTTAAATTTATTTACACTCTGCCTTTGCGCCTGGGTGCTTGGCGCTTTCTCAGTGCCTAGGCAAGCTAGCAGGGAAGTGGAGGTAGGCAACTAAACGGATGGGAACTGAGCTTATTCCAAGCTGTCCCCACACACCATCACCCAGCCACTGTGATTACGGGACCTCCAGCTAATGCCGGTTGAAATAGGATTCATCTACCAATCCCGTCAGCTTCTGTACATGGTATTGGAGAAGTGTATCACTTTGTCCTTAATCTCAGGCAGCAAGCTTTTTGGGACCAGCCCTTCTTTCACTGAATAATAATGCAAATAATCTACTTGCCACCATGTGGTAGTTTTCCCCAGAAAGAGGAAATGAGCCTAGACAACAGCATGGAGGTGTTAAACTCATTGCACTGTTTCCTGTATGTGACAGTATAGTCTAGGCTAGGCCTCAAGAAAAGCCATGTATTGATTTGGTTGTCCAATTCAGGAGGGGGAGCAAGGTTACCTCATTAGCTACACACCGCTTTGGATAAAAGATTTAAAATGATACCAGTCATTTATAATATTCACCTGCATCAACCTCAGGCTTATTATAACTATAATCTAACCTGTAATACCTGACCTAAAACTGTAAATCTTTAAGTGATTACATGGTCAGGGAAGTTCAGGCAGATATAATTTAATCATTTCAGAGCAGATTTAGCTGTAGGCTGGTTGCTTAGGCTGCTGGCACCTAGTCATATTTATGACACATTTAAATAAGAATAGCCAAAAAATGAATCAGACTTGACTTTGATGCAGGTAAGCATTTAGCAACTGCCTAATTGTATTTATCCGTGACAGAATCACAATAGAATGTCTTTATTAGATCTCAGTTCCAGAACATGGTGTACTTCTGCATCTCTCCTGGACCCTGAGCAGACCTGCAGGAATGCTGATGAATTTTGTTGCCGCTAGAGTTTAGAATAATAAAAAAACATACTTAATCTGGTCTGGATTTTGCTGAACATGCTCTAAAATAAACCAAATGTGGGGCCATGCTTAATTCAGATGGTCTAAAAATAATAATGCAGGAAGTACCTTGACCCTGTCCTCTGGTTCCACATTTCACGAAAATGACTTTTCTCGTTGCAGTTGCTGTCTTGGGTTTCTTTGAGAGGAAGGGTGGGATGTAAATTTAATAATAAATAAAAAAGAAAGATTTTACTTTATTTTATTTTATTGAAGATTCTTATATTTGTTAAGATTTCTTCTATTTTATATGTTAAGAATCTAATGCGTTCCATTAAAAATGACTCCAAAGCAGTTTCCAGACAATAATTCAAAAATATTAGCAAAATATAAGATTCAGTTAAAACATCAGCAATAGGCCAACAACAAAAGTTAAAAGGATACAGTTAATATGATGCAGATAGAGACTAATTCCGACAATCCAAAAGACTGATAAATCAGGAAAGGCATGTGACAGGATCCTATCAATGTTGTGGCATTTTGTGCCCTTTAAGCACATGATAGGGAGCTCCACATCTGGGGTGCCACTACAGATAAGGCCCTACAGGTCTCTCCACATGTTGGTGAGACAATGAGCAGAGTCCCTCTCCCAGTCACAGAGCATGGCCTGGCTAATGAGGAGAAATGTAGTGCCGATTCCGCTGGACAGGTGTTACCTGTCAATGCACGGAAGTGACAATCCTCTTGTGGCTGCATTCTGTACTAACGTTTCCAGACTGTCTTCAAGGGCAGCTCAATGTAGAATGCCTTACAGTAGTCTAAATGGAAAGTGATCAAAGCATGCAAAATTTTACTGGAGAGCACAGTAGCTGTTTTTCCTGCTGTGAAGAATAACAATTGTGCAATGTAGTTTAGAGATCCCTAGGCTAATATAGCTCAGGTGGTAAAGTATGTGACTCTTAATCTCAGGGTCATGGGTTCGAGCCCCACAGTGGGCAAAATATTATTGCATTTCAGGCGGTTGGACTAGATGACTTTCATGGTTCCTTTCAACTCTCAGTGAAGTATACTGTGTGAGGTGTTCATTTGTTTTTTTTAAAGTGTGGTGACATTTTTGCTGGTGCCATCTATCACCACTCCCCCTCCTTCCGTTGACAAGGTGCTCCTCCATGGGCTTCTGGTGGGGCTGGGCACTACAAAAACACACACATGTAAACCTGCCGTTTTGTGAGAGTCTGGTATGTCAGAAAACATGTATCTCAAAAACACTAGCCATGTTGGCTGTGCTTTACCTTCACAGCTGGAGGCAGCCAGGCTGCCAAATACCAGTTGCTGGAACACAGGAGGAGAGACTGCTATTGTGCTTATCTTCTGTTTGCTGGTTGGCCTGACTACACTGGCTGCCAATTAGTTTCCACTGTCTGAGACACTTCCTTGAGGCTCGGAGGGTGGCAACTCGAGAACTCAAGGCCTATTCAGTGGTGGCTCCCAGTTTGTGGAATGCTCTTCCCAGGGAGGCTAATCTGGCACCTTCATTACATATCTTTAAGTACCAGGCAAAAACATTTCTCTATAATCAGGCCTTTGGCTGATCAAACATTCTGTGGCCTTTTACTTGCGTTTGTGGAAGGGAGGTTATTGGGTTTTGGGTTTTTTTTACTATGTATTTAGTGTTTTCATTTTGTATGTTTATGTTGTGAACCGCCCTGTGATCTTCAGATGAAGTGTGATATTGTACAAATGTAATACATAAAAAAATAAAATCATAATAATAACAATAGAGGGAAAAGCCACCATCTCCAGCATGGATGCTGTCTGGGAGCAATAGGAGCTGTTGTCCCAGGACAGACCATGAAGACTATCCAGTGCGTGACAAATCAACTAAGAGCCAGCATGGAATTATTTTGAATCCCATTGTGGTGACCCCTTATTTTATCTTATTTCACTCTCACACTATATTTGTGAGACATCCATCATCCAGTAAGATAAAACAGAAACTTAAACGTGGGTCTGGTCGCAACTCTAAAGAAATAGAACTATTAATGCTGGCAACACTGGGTCTCTGAAGGATAGATTCTACGTTCATAAAGTGATGCTTGTCAGTTAAGAAAATGCTTATTTGAAAAGGCTTGTGAGTAACGTCAGTGCCGATGTGTATTATTTAACCACATGCAATGGTCACCATCGACTGGAGATTCGTTTCAGCAACTGCATGCCCAACTATTTATATTCCTTTAAAGCGGGCATGTGCAGATGTTCCTGGTGGATGGTGCTCCTTATTTATCACCAACAGAAGAGACAGCCCAATATTTCATCTGATGAGCTATTATGGCTTTAGTGAACCATCTCTTAACCAGAAGCCTTTAACACTGTCTGGGGTTGTCTTTAATGCTTTTCACACATTTTCTGAGTTTTAGCATCTGACTTAAGTCTTCTGTTCAAAAGACTGGGCATAAAAACTGGTATAATGGAACCACTATTTTTTTTTTTATCACCACCGCCTTTGTTATTGGAGATCTAATGACAACAGCTCTGTCTGCATCTCAAGTGCCCGCCTTGCGCAGGGGACAGAGGCTCTTTCTGTGAGCCTTTAATGTCAAATGTTGAGCTGCTTCCAGAAATAATGCACTTTTAGCAATGGTAAGCCCGATATTTTTAAGAGGGCCACTGGAACAATATTGCTTAAAACATTATTTTAGGAGACTGGGAGAGGGTGGGTGGAATCCCTACTCCCCCCCCCCAATCCCCTTTGTTTTAAATACCTTCCTTGTTACAAATTTGCTAGTTATGAAAAAGAGTGAGGAAAAATGCTATTTGCTTTTGGTAATCGGATTCAGTGGCATCTAATCCTATATCGTATTTATGGCTGTGCTAGCTATTCAAAATTAAAATGAACCTTTCATCCATGTGTATCATAAATGGGCATTTATCAGGATTATATGATTTTGCAATCCATCTGAATATGTAACCAGAATTTGTTTTCTTTCCGTTTCACTATGTAATTACCATGCGACAATAACAAAAGTGACATGTTTGAAGAACAGATAAAATGCTGTAAATTGGCCAGTAATGGTGATATTTCCTCATCTTCTGAAAAACCCATTTATTCTCTCTCTCGACAAATCAAGGCATTGTCAGCCCGCACTCATCTTGTGGCCAGAGGGGCCCTACCAATTTCTAGATGTAAGTGAATACTGGAATGCAGATGAGGCCTACTAACTAAGGCTTTCAACTCAGGCAGCTGGTCTTAGCTTGCCTCAATTTCTAAATCATCCATAATGGGGCCAGGACCTCCGAAGCACTAAAAAGAGCGAGCTGACATGCTGGACAAACTGTTAATTTTTTTCCCTGAAGAAGCTGCTATATTGCACATCTGTCACTGCTATGCAGACAATTACTCACAGAGTGGAAAAAAATCTGCTGCTTGTTTCTAGTGTAGTTGTTAACTGACATAATGGCGAAATACAATGGTTTAGGAGAGGCATAGAGAGGGTTTCCCTCCTCCCTTTTAAAAAATTCTCCTCAGTTGTTGTTTTTTCCATTTTGAATGCTTCTGTATTCTGGAACATTCCACATATGTAAAAGCCCAACACCAAGGCTATGAAACAATTGTCACAGAGCTGGTTAAAAATGTTTGGGGTTATCAACCTCAGCTTTCCCTCTCGCCTCTAAACATTCGCATCATGCAATAGTCATGATTGGCGGTTTGTAAAATAACTGTATAGTTTATAAAAGGCACTTCCACATACAAAGCTTTGAAATTCCAATTGACAGAGGGTATTTACTGTAAAAGACATCTTTTGTCAATAATCTTAATTTGAGATAACTGCTAAATCTTTATTACATAAGTGGATATTTTTATTGTACTTAAAAATAGGTTGGTATTTAAAAATTGAACAGGGTAATAAATAATCTAGCCATGTTATTCCTCCACCCCACCCACATAGCTAATGGGGAGAGATTAGGGTTTGAATAGTCCTGTACACATGGGAGAAATGAATTTATAGGAGATAATATGGCAATTTGAATGTGAGATAACTGGGGGATCTTCCATTCAGTTGTTCACTGCTTTCAACAGGAAGGAAGGTGGGGAAGAAGAACTGATGGTGCCAAGAGATGGGGAGAATCCCGTTCCTGTTCCTGATCTGTCCCCGAAGTTAATAACAAGGAAATGGGCTAAAAGGCCAGAAACACTGGAAAGATGTGCTATATTTAAAATAACCGCTCAGCCCTAATGCCTGCCCCAGCCAAAAAAACCCTCTACTTTACAGGGTTATGGGATAACTTCACAGGGATAACTTTGTATGTTTCTCTGAGCTCTCAATGGAGGAAGGGAAGATAAAAATGTAATGGTGTATAACATCTATGTGTGATGTCTGCATGTTCGTTTTACAATTAAAAATTAGAACATTGTGCAGCTGAAAGCAAAGCCCTGCCTGACAAAAGCCAGCACAGCTGTAAAGGTCTTGCTCCATTTGGACTGAAATCAGAATTTCACTCTGGTTCTCATTCTGAGTTAAGTGGGAAGTTAATGTGGCTAATGCTGCCGCTGATGTATTATCAGTTAGGTACAGTGCGGGTATTTCACAGATATGGGGAAACTGCCCCCCCCCCAGTGTTGTCGGACTGCATCTCCCATTGGCCATCCCTAATCATTGGCCACTCTGGCTGGAACTGAGAGGAAATGGATTCAAGCGAAAACTGGAGGGCTACAGGTTACCCACCCCTGCTTTTAAGGGGTGTTGGGCAAAGGTGGGCAGCCAGGTGTTGCGAGTAGAATGACCACCATCCTTGACCAATGACCATGTTAGCTTGAGGCTTGTGGGAGTTGCAGTCCGACAACAACTGGAGGACACCACATTGGCTACTCCTGGTGTAAGGGGCTGGAGCATATGGCTCCACAGACTACTACCAAGCAACTCATGGTTAACCATGGCAATCCACAGTAAAGCAATCAGCCTTTGGCACCAGCCCAGCTCTTGTCAAACTTATAAAGAACTGAAGGCTATTCTTGTAAGCTACCCTGTGTACTATTGCAGCACTGCCTATCTGTCAAGTCAGAGCTCAGCTTGGGTAGTCACATGATTAATAATAGAAAGTTAACCAAGATGGGAATGATAGAGAAATATCCCCTAGTACAGGCATCCCCAACCTTCGGCCCTCCAGATGTTTTGGACTACAATTCCCATCATCCCTGACCACTGGTCATTTTAGCTAGGGATCAAGGGAGTTGTAGACCAAAACATCTGGAGAGCTGCAGGTTGGGGGTGCCTGCCTTAGTAGTTAATAACCAGAATGAAATAGGGGGAATCAGTGCTTTTTTTCTTAAAAAATGTTTAGGGGTACTCTCATTTTCCTACTCATATTGAAATACTGCCCCTCAATGAGGCCAAACTTAGATTCACAAAATGTTTAGGGGTATGTGTACTCCTGCGTCCCCACCCCAGAAAAAAAGCACTGGGGAGAATGTTGCTATATTGGTTCTGTGTTACCTTTGCCCTATAAGCCAACTGTAGCACTCATTAAGAATTACTTATGCTTTCAGAGATCCTGCCGGTTTTCATTTACTATGTATTAATGTGGCTCATGATTAGCCTCTTGGTGAGTTGCTGCTCCTACGACATAGCCTAAGATGAGAAACAGGAAAACAGTTTAGAAATGGCTCACCTGTTGATTTAGGCAAGGGTTGAATGTAGGAGGGAAGAGATCAGTGTGATTCCTTCTTATATCCACAGCTACAGTTTTCTAACCAGAATGCACAGGCAAAAATGCACCTACATTTGTTCCAACTACAATGAAACACAAACATTTCCCTGAAAAAGTTGACAAGGAATCGAGTCTCATTGTTCCGCTGCAAATGCAGCGATGTCTGAATCAGGGGGATGATTTATGCTGTCTGACAATTCAAAGACAGGAGACAACTCTAATGTACAGATAAAACCAAAAGTGGCAATAGTAGATCATCACACTGACAGTTAATGGGACTGACTCGCTGGAGAGAAATCTGGATCTACTTAAAATGTCAGGTGTGTAAAGTAATGAGTCTGTGCTTAGTAGGAGACCTCCAGAAGGAGCCTTCATGGTCCACTCGTCAGTTGAATATATATTACGGCAAACCTGTTAAATCAATGAGTATTTAATACCTAATGACTTGGGGGTTTTTTCTTTGAAAAAGACTCATTCTTACCCCTAAGGCAACTTGTGTGATTCTAACAGATCAAAAATTTCTTAGAATGCAATCAATGTTATTGGATGGATTAATATAACAACAAAAACTATAGTCAGATTTCATCTATTTGAAATAAGTCAGTGGATAAAGAAATGAATGACCAATTGCCAAATGCTGCAACCTTTTCCAAATTGTAGGAACTCTGCATGGGAGTATTTTTAAATGACAGGAACTCTAGGTGAGAAAACTAGTGAGATTCTTGGGACTAGTCAATGCATCCTTATTATCATGCGGATGCACTTGAATCAGTCATTGAAGGGTGCCCAACCACCACCAGAAATAGGTCTTATTGCTGGCATGAAAACTCCCCCTTCCACATGGAAGAAGCATGTGGTACTGAACATTATGGCGAAACAGAGGATGCTTCAAGCATTCTCTCATGGGGTAAAAATAATGCGCAGCCAAGGTTTTAGTTGCACACCCCAGTCTTCACCACGATTCTCAGAGGAATAACATAAATCAGGGGTTTCCAAACTGGTGGCCTGTGGCATGTCTGTGAAGAACATTTATAATTTTAATTCTATGGAATTCGAATTGCAATGCAGTAAATACGTACAATAGAAGTAAAAGAAGCTATAAAAATGCAATTAAAATGATGCAGCAACTAGCATAACATATTAGAATTGCTATGACAGGCAGAGAAATTGTTAAGTGGCCCGCCATGAGCCTCAGCACTTTTCAAGTGATTCGTGAAAAACAAGTTTGGGAAGTGCTGGCATAAACTAAAACATTGGCTACTGATGGTTATAACCCTAAAATGTAATAGTGTGGATTTTAACTTTTTCTAAGCCACCTGGAGACCCACTTCTGATTCAGCTACATTAGTCAAAAAACAGCATTTAAAATGTGTTATAAATATGCAGCACCAGATGGTGCTATAGAGCACAAAACCTTTCTATGCGATTTCCCCCTTTTGTTATAAGGATTTGATTTGTGACTTATAGCATCCCCCCCCCCTTTGTGTGGATCCACCCCTATTTGTTGACTATACCTCTTTACCCTTTAACATTTAAGGCATTTTGTTTTGTGCCCCCCCCCAGTAGAATTTATAATGTTCTGTTCTGGCTGGTCACAGTTTTGAAACTTTAATTTCAGTGTGGATGTCGAGTCACTTTCTGATAATTCAACTTCAGGTTTTTTAAAATAAAAAACACATACTGAATTTTAAAAGGCAAAATGGAAGGGCAAATGGTAGAAAACAAGCTTATTACACAATGATCCCTCTACAGCAGAACATATTTGTATGCCTATAGTTTTTCATTTTAATCGACAAAGTGGAGATACAGTGCTACATGCACACAAAAAAGTCAGGTTGATTATATATTAAATGCACATACAGTACTTTCATTAAAGCTGCATGTATGTACAGTAATCTAGTATTACTTGGATAACAAATTAATCAAGTCTACTATATGCCTAAATTATTACCCATCAGCCACCAAGGCTCCAGAGGATGTCAATTTATTATTACTCGACCAAAGAGAAAACGCCTGCTTAACTCTTCCATGTGGAAGCATCAAAAATACCTATGCTAGCATTTTAACACTGAGCATTGCAGCTTTGAATCAAAGGTAGGTATTTGCCTTGCAATAAATTATTCTAAAATCTAAATTACAACCCAGCTCATAATTCTTGAAGTTTTATGACTAAATCTCTAAACCACCCTCCTTTCCTCAGTTACACTGCAATGGTTGATCCCTAGATCTACTTACCTAAAATCACATTGCAAAAGGAAGCACAATTTGTTTGGGAGGGAAGCTACAAATTGTAGCACACTCTAGGGACATTTTTATAGTAGGATCACCATGTTGCAGAATTCACTTTATGAATTACTGTGGCAAAGGCCATATTCCGGTAGCAGACAGAGCCAGACACCCACTCAGAGCGATTTCTTTCTTAATAACTGCACTCATATTTACCTTCCATTTTATTCACATAACTTTTTAAAATAAATATACATATTTATAAAAAGATCTCCAACTCCCTTTCTTTATTTTGCCTGTGCAGAAGGCAAAACTCAGTAATACCAGAAGAATGCAAACAAGGTTCAATAAATAGCTGAACAATAATTCCTTCTTTTCAGCTATTTGAAGTCTCAAGCTTCAAAATGTATTTGCACTCTCAAAATCATATGCATTTTTTGCATACTTTTTGCATATTTGCAAGGAACAGAAAAGGGGAAGGACCTGAACATCAAAGCCTTTCTCACCTCACTGAGCAGCTGATCGTCGGAAGGGGACCAGGGAGTTGGATGAAATTTGGTTCATGCCCGGGGTTCCCAACCTGAATTTGATCAAAGAGCAGTTGATGACAAAAGTCTTTGCCTGAGACACTGAGCAACCAATCAGAATAGATAATTCCGACCTTAGCAAACAAATACTGTCACCTGAATCCTATATATTTTCCCTTAACTCCTGCTTCTTCCTCTTAGTTACTTGGGACCTTTGTCTTTGGCCACTGCCTCATCGTAACCCTTGCCATAACTGCTTCTTCCCTTTCCTTCCTTTCTACTGAAAACCAGTTAATTGCCCATTCATATGATGACCAGGTGCAATGCAGTAGCAGCTAATATATTACCGATACTACAGTGCCCAGGCAATGGCAGTTTCCAGGTTACAGTTTGTTACTTACTTGAAGCCATTGAGAATTGAGTATTCCCCTATTCCTTATGTTTTGAGCATGGCAAAAAAAAAAAAAAGCAGAATCCAGAAATTGGATTTTATTATTTAAGAGTACCTGTTTTTTTCAGTCACAAAAGCTGGTGTTATCTCTGCTGATTTTCTCCTCCACCCCCCCCGGCACATCTGGAAGATCCTTTGAGACTCAAGAGTGGCTCTTTGAGGGCAAAGTGGGTGGCAATGGGAATGGAGGAGCAGGAAAACCCAATAGTTTAAGTGGAACTCTGCTTGCAGTTCTCTGGATCTCACTCATTGTGTTTGGTAGGGAATGTTATTATGCCAATGATAGCAGGTGGTGGGAAGTCTGACATCTGAATACAGCCTTATGCTGGCAGCCGTATATGAATTCTGAAGTGATTACTTTAGGGTACAGGTATGATTAAGCCAAGCTAACACAGTCATTGAAATAAACCTCCAGTCCAGTGATAGAAGGACTCTTTAATGAGATTGGTGTCAGCACAAAAGCAAGCCAAAATATTAAGTGTGAAATTATGGCTGTTGATAAAATTAAAGCACTTCCTGTTAGACTGTTTCAAATCTTTTCACCTTCTTTCAAGAATATGTGCCTGAGAAGCCTCCACCCTGGCCCACCTTTGTCACCACCGTGTTTTGTTTCTTTCCAGTTAAGAAATATCTCCCAAATTATAACTATAATTCAGAGACTCCAATGTCCCATTTTAAATCCACTTAGCTAACAACGGGTCGGGATACACATTCACAGTGATTGGATAAATGACAGCAGTACAATTGGTTTAAAAACTTCGCTTTTAAAATGGCACCACCTAAGATGCAACAACCAATTAAAATTGTACTCAAAAGGTGTGTGTATTAGGGTGAGAGAGAGGAGGGTGGAGTTACATGCGGCAACTCCTGGAATAATAAAGCTTGCCATTTGTCATGCGTTTGTCATGCAAAATTGCATGCTGGGAAGCAAGATGTGCTTTATGTTGGCTCATCTGCAAATATTGTATATCAAATTAGATATAAAATTAAACTGGCCTGAAATGAGGCAGAGTCATGAGCAGCCCTGCCCATGAAGGCTGTATCTGGCTGCCACTGAGGCAGAGATGCAATCTTTTAGAAAGGTGAACTCTGTCACTCCTTCTTTCCTCACTAGAGTGCTGTTAAAGCAGCTCCGCATCTATGCTGCCTTGATGAACAATCTACCAAGACCTTTTTGGAATGGAAGGGAGATGTGCAGCAATGTCTAATACTATACTGCATCTGCACCATCTTATTAAGTAACACAGCAGCTTTCCATTATAATTGAAACTAGCAAAAGTGGCCTGTTCTATGAAAGGGTTGAGAAAGAAAAACTCAGGTGCGCCTGTGCAGTTGGCTAGTCTTTAAAGGGATGGGGGGAATGAATCCAATCAGTTCTTGGAAATTTTGACAATATAAATGGTCAAGACCACAGAAAATAAAAAAGTACAATTAAAAAGATTAGCACCATTACAGAGTTAGGGTTCAAACATCAGGACTGCCCTAATGGCTGGTCCCTTGCAGCTTTTAATAGAAAACATTGAGGCTTCTGTATTCAAAAGTGACGGTAAGAATCACTGGATATTTCTGAGAACAGCTGAATGTTTTTAGTTATTTCAAAGTTGAAAGGTTGGTCGTCGTCTTGTCTGAACAGCAGCTGAAGTGCCTTTCGGTTAGCTGAATCCAAGTCCAAGTCCTTTTGGCCTCTGGATTGCTCGGATTGGTTCGGCTATCCCTTTGCCTTCTGGTCCAAGGCCTGTGCCAGGTGTCCAGCCCATACTTTGGAGCATCCTATTGCCAATGTTGCTATCTGAGATCGGTTGAGCATTTTCACCTACAAACCCTGAGATTAAAAGAAATACACAGCATTAATCAGGATGGCCATATGCAGAAGAGCAGGATAATCTCCCCGTAAGCCTTAAACCTTCTTATTCTCCTAATTTATCTAATAGGTTGCTAGAACAGGATGTCTTTGTGCACATCGACCTCAAGGTTGCATGTTGATCTGAGAATGTTACAGGCTAATTTTCCTTATTTGAAAGAGAAAAAAAGAATTATATAAATGCTTAACACCATGCATAATAACGTGTGTTGGAAATTACATTCCAGCATGACTCAAAGGTGGCAAGAACCATAGAAATGAAAACAGGGGAACCTGGTTGCATTAATCAATGTTAAAGTTTTGCTCTGCTCCCTTAAACTGCACATTTGTCACTAAAATCTTTGCAGTCTATATAATATTAAGTATTATGTAGTGATACTATTGGAGAGGCCACAGTCATAAAAATCTAATGTGTGCTAACTACCAGCTACTTCAGTCTGTGTCACACCCATCTGTGGCTATGGTGACACATGAGAGAACCCAGCTCACGGTGGCACTGGAGTCAGACTGCCGTGTAGATATTTGGATTAGGATTCTCTCTTTTTGTCCTTTCCCACTTTCTGTGAGTTGTGCTGAGGTGTTGGAGGACAGAGCTGTGCATGTGCCACATGTCCTGTCCTGAATCTTCTAAGATACCCTCAGGTGCGATTGAGGACACTGTCCTTTTTGCCTGATTTGAAATAAGGTGCAAATGCCAGTCCGCTCGGCTCCTGCATAAGAAAAGTGGGTTACTGGCATCTTGTCCTGTGCCTCAGGCAGCAAATTGTCCTGGGCTGGTCCTGGGCAGAATGGAAATAGGTGAGGAAGCCTAACAAGCTCAGCTTAACAAAGCTGTTGTGGGTCTCTCTTCGCTGAAAGTTGGATACAAATGTATAACAATGAATACAAGAGAGTTAAAACAAGGGTCTGGAAAAGTGAAAGTCTTATAATTGCTCTTTTTAACATTAACAGAAACCAGCATTCTATAAGGAATAGAGAGCTGAACACCCTGTTCTTCAAAATGTGCAACTTTATATAGTGGTGTTACTATTCTTGTTGCCAGCCCCTCAGTGGAAAGTACGCAATTTTCTGTGACTGACAGGTAATTGGAAGAGTTTTGTTTTTAACTGATACTTAAGTACTTTAATATACAATATAATGAAATTTTCCTCCTCAACATAGGATATAATTATCAGAATTTGAAACTCCATGCATTTTGTTCCATTCAGCACCTATAAATATACAAGCCAAAAAGCAGCTTTGCTAATTGCATGCCAAGACTACTTACTGTTGCTCCTACTGTACTGCAAGCCCACCTGATCAAGTGCTGGATTTTTATGTGGATTCACACTTGCTTTAACCCTAGCCTCAGCTATTAGAGCTCACTGAATGGTTTTCAACAAGCCACCCACCCTCACAGCATAACCTTCCTTACACAATTGTTTTAAACACAAAATGGGATATGCTAGGGATATAAAAGCGTACGTCACAGTGCAAAGGGTTACAGAAAGAAAACAGGTTGGTGGGAGGTATCCAATTGTGTGTGTCCACTGGGAGAGCCAAGTTCTGCTCCTGCAACAGGCTTTTCTCTTCCTCTCCTAGCTTCTGCAGCCCCCACTCTCATTACATCTGCTTTGGAGGGTTGGGACATATTTGTGAGCAGGGGTGGGGACAAAAGGCAGGAGAGGAAACTTGTGCAACAATGGGTATCATTCAGTGTTTTTAATGATAACGTGTTTAAAGGCAGGCGCTGCAACTCTCCAACACTTTGACTTTAACCCCAAAGGTGCACTCTTCCATTGTCTCTTGAGACTGACAGAGGCCAACTACAGTTCAAAAGCACTTTTCAGTGGATCAAAGTCTGCTGTCATTGCATACTTACTAAAGGATAAGAAAACTAGTTAATTTGCCACCACTTGTAGCACAAGTGCAGATGGAATGCTGCCTTATTGTTTGGTATTCACTGTTTGGTGTTTGGGAGCATCGCATGGGATCATGTGCTCCACTTCGCTCATGTGGGCATTCCCACTTCAGTTTTGGTCAGTGCACTATGTCTGATGGCACCAAATCATTGTTAGCACCAGATCATTTTGTAACTGATGGTTGCAAACTATGGTTTGACACAATGGCTACCAAAAAATATCAGTGCAGTTTGGACATAATGTTATGTCAACATTTAAAAGAAAGGAGACAAATGTTTAAGTGAGAGAAGGGACTTGGAGAAGCACCTGGTACTTGATGTGTTGTTCCTAATCACCAAACTATGTTCTGGTGATGGGGCAGAATTGCATCTGCACTAGGCCTTTTTAAGTTTGCCTTTTTTTTTAAAAAAAGGCAAGCTATATGCAATATTTCATTGTTTGTGGAAAACTCTGAAGCCTCAATTTGAGAATGACTTTCTGTAGTGATTTAGCAAATTGCAGGCATTCTAATTGGCTTATTTTGAACATTGCCTTCTATTTGAGGCAACAATTACTGTAACCTTATTTCTTGCAGTTTTTCCTGTGTCACCTAAAACAGAGAGAGAACAACCACATGCAAAATTTATTGGTGCTCATTGGTTGAAAGGTAAGGAACTAAAAACTACTTTTACTGTACTTTATATTTATCGACTAATTAAAGCAACTACTTGGAACATCACAATTAAAAGAATTAACTTCCCAAGGGGCTGTTTCTAGCAAGCGGCCCCAGAAACAACTGGGGGCAACTTTCTAACCATGTTGAGGATTATAAATACAGTAGCAGGGTTTTTTCTCCATCTATAAGAAAAGTAGCTATGCAAACAGCCTGAGAAAGGCAGAGAATCTCCAACTGTTTCAGCAGGAAAGACTTCGTGACAATCTCTGCAAGACCAGAGTTAATACTGCTCATTAATAATAGGCTGCTGCACCAGTGGCACAAAGCTTTTTCTGCTGTTTAAGGACTGCAATGTCTGATTGCTACCAGAACAAACAGAGTCAGTGGGCAGCTCACTGCAGTTGTTGCCACAAACACAGTAAACGGAACACACTTGCTTGGCCAGTGACTTTCATTGGTAGAGCAAAAGCTTCAGAATTTCCCGGGAAATCACAGTAAGCCAAAATGTACAGTCTTGTAGTTCTACCAGTGCATATTTTCACAATTCCTGGAGATACTCCTTATGCATGTAAATGTTTTAGAGACTTAATATAAAGCCCATAAAAGAAAAAGGGCAATAAAGTTTGTATATAGTAAATCAAGGCACTCCTTTGAAAAAAAAAACAAAGCTTGCAATTAAATTTTTATTTCAAAATAATATTTATGATGTCATTAAAGGTAGATTTCTATGAAAATTAAGCCATGTAATTTTTCTCAACAGCTGTTGGAACAGGTACATTCTGGTTAAGCAGAGCACTAGCATTCAGTGCCATACCCTTGATTTTACAGGGATTGCCATGAATTAATTTAATTCCATCTGTAAGCTAAAAATCAGATCAGAGGTCTAATGCTGCTGCAGGCTTCACATCTGTTTAATCATTTTGGGATACAACAGCTTGCCGAAGTTCAGGTTTTACATTTGCTTAAGAATTTCAGTAGGGCCCTCAAAACACAAAAGAACCGCAGAAACTTTGCCTATATTTTACATGCACATCTTGCAGCTTTTGCTTTGGTACCTTTTGAACTTTATTTTTATAGAGGTTTTTTTAAAAAAACCAAAAACAATACCAGAAGTGGCCTTGATTAAATAAACAATTTCTTGCTTAATCTGTGTGAACATTAATTGCTAGCACTGTGACTGAAACACATTATTTCCTGTTCATGCTCATAAGAAAACTGATGTCACTTCCCCTTTAACACGAGTTTAATGTTGAAAATCCAGGTATACTTACCAAGATGTAAGTCCCAGTGAATTCTGTTGGAATGTGCTGCTTTTGATAAGCCAAAAAACAGCAGCTATGTTAACAGAAATCGAGAAGCACACTACTGTACTTAGAAAAAAATGCCACAAAGAATACATTTGAGATACATAAACATGGGCAAAATGCCGTTCTCATGGAGCACAAATACTGATTGAGACTAGAGTGTCTTTTAGGGGGAGGAATCAGATCTCTTTATTTATGCAGATGCTTAGAGGTGGAAGCTTTATCTGCGGTTGACCTGTACATTCTATTTTTAACATTATATTTTTTGTGGGGGAGGTCTATCTATTGATGTACGAACTCTTGTTTGATTAATATCATGCATTCATTTATTTTAAATCACTGAATGCATTAAATCTGAATAAAATGATACATGAATAAAACAATTAGTTGTAGAAGAAAAATGTTCTCTTTTTAGATGATGCCTGTATGTGTCATAGCAGGCATATTAGAAAAGTGTTCCCTCCTGTGTTGAGAGAGAAAAGAGATTGTCTGTTCTCATATGACAATTGAAATCTACACTTTTTGAAGTACTTAAAAATATTAAGTACTAAAAGTATTAATAATAAATTACCACTCTAAAATAAACTATTTCCAATTAACTAGGAGCATTTTTAGTCATTCTCTTAAAAACCAGCTTATTCTTAATCTTACCTCACAGTCAGTCTCACTGAACTCAGTGAAACTTACTTCTGAGCAGATATGCACAGGATTGTACCATCATAGAGCAATACTTTGGATGTCTACTCAGAAGTAAATCCCATTGTGCTCAATGGTGCTATTCAGTATGCATAGGGCTGCAGCCTAAACAGTGCTGCACTAAATTTTGGGCCTGGAATCACCAGGTATGAAACGTAAGTGGTTTAGAAATAAAACATGACATGGAAATGTATGTGCGTAGGACTCTCCAAATAGTTCCAATTAAATGATTTTGGATTAAACACAATGTAATATTCCTTACCCTGCATTTTTAGTAATATCTGCATGTAAAAGTGGAGCAGTCTGATCATTTCCTAAGAAGGCACTATTTCATACTGAAGATTTATTTTTGTTTTTGCTAAAACTGAGGCCGTCTTGGTTCTCTCTTCCCTTTTATAAGATTAACACATGTGAATTTAACAAGTTTGCTGCAGCAGGACACCCCACAACTATTATTTTCTTTTCCAGCACTCCTGGCAGCCCTAAATCCTTTAAGTCCTTTCCAAGAAGGATCTCTTTTTTGCTTGGGCAATTTTTACACTACGTGGCCTGATAACCCTGACCCCCTATCCTGGATCTCACTATCGCAGCAGAGTGAGTCTTTTCTACCTTAAATTCCCAAGGAGCACCGTGGATGGTAATTCACTTGAGTAATTGGCTCAAGAGATGAAAATCTTGTATCTGCCTCTCTTAGCCACTAATCTATCCAGCTGACTGCAAGCCTAATTGGCAGCTTGTTTAGTAATTTGGCTCCTAAAGTGTTGTATTGATGTTGGATAAACAGCCAATGGAAAACAGGGAGATACATGCTGCTTCGCTTTATAACCTAGTGCACCTTTCCCCCTGTTCTCTGAAGGCATTTAATATTCAGAGTATTCCTTTCACTTCTCTATTTGTGGCTGCTAAACCAGCCTGCAAAATGTAAAGGTCTGAAACCACTTGATGCAGGAAAGATGTGCTGTAACAGTGCTGCTCTCGAAACCACAAGCCGTCTTGATCCATGATTTTTTCCTAAGGGTTTCCCTAGAGCAAATAAATCAGTAAGAATAATTCTTTCTTTTTTTAAAAAAAGCTAATGTTTATATAGATACAAAAATCACTACCAGTAACCAAACCAAAGTCATCCAGTTAACTATGCTGAACTTGCACAGTATTGAGGAATAATGCAGCTCAATGCTTTCAAGTTGACACAAATGGCCTCTTTCGTGGTATTCAGATTGTTGGTATACGCAGATGCTCACATGCCTGCTGGGATGGTTTACACAGGTGCGAAGGCTTTTGCTCAGTGGAACTTCAGTAAGGGAGAGTTAGGCCCATGAGGCTTGAAGTGGGCAACATGCAATCACACCAACGCTGCTAATACCACTGTATGCTCTGCTTCGCCATCTGCACTCCTAGAAAGTGAACGCTGAGACCTTTTGTTTGAATGCTAGTCTATATGTTTCAATGCAAAATCAATGGTAAGACCTAAATAGCACCTTTAAGCACAAGCAAGGGTTCCCCTCAGTGTATGGCCACAATTCAAGTGGCAGAGCACATATTTCGTAAGCAGAACCCCCCCCCCCGGCAAAGATCAGGTAGTAAAGCTGGAAACAACCTCTGCCTGAGATATTCGAGATGCAGTCAACACTGGGCCAGATAAAACAATGACCTGACTTGGTATAAGGCACCTTCATGCATTCAGAGGTTCTCCCTTTATCTTCTGCTAGCATCTTCTCAATCTTCTCTAAAGAGCATTTCTGACTTCCTCCCATGAGCAGCTTTTAAGAAGCACTTTGGGAAGAGTGGGGTTTACAAGGTTGGTGCTGCTTATTCATGATACAGCACTGTGTACTGGGGCTTATCGTAGAATTGTGGAGTTGGAAGGGACTACAAGGATCATCTAGTCCAACTCCCTGCAATGCAGAAATCTCTTTGCCCAACATGAGGCTTGAACCCACAACCCTGAGATTAAGAGTCTCATGTTTAGCTACTGAGCTATTGAACCCACCTTTTCACCTGACAAGACTAGAGGCGGCTTACAGATAAAAACAGCAGCCAAGCCTGTTCATCTTTATGGTCCAGCTCTCAAAGATGAGAGCTGGACCATAAAGAAGGCTGATCGCCGAAGAATTGATGCTTTTGAATTATGGTGCTGGAGGAGACTCTTGAGAGTTCCATGGACAGCAAGAAGATCAAACCTCTCCATTCTTAAGTAAATCAGCCTTGAGTGCTCCCTGGAAGGACAGATCCTGAAGCTGAGGCTCCAATACTTTGGCCACCTGATGAGAAGAGAAGACTCCCTGGAAAAGACCCTGATGTTGGGAAAGATGGAGGGCACAAGGAGAAGGGGACGACAGAGGACGAGATGTCTGGACAGTGTTCTCGAAGCTACCAGCATGAGTTTGACCAAACTGCGGGAGGCAGTGGAAGACAGGAGTGCCTGGCGTGCTCTGGTCCATGGGGTCATGAAGAGTCGGACACAACTAAACGACTAAACAACAACAACAAGCCTATTCAGGATACCATATTTCTGAAGTACATAGGAAGAGCCTCCTGGATAAGGCAAAGGCCCATCTAGTCCAACAGCCTGTTCTCACAGCAGCTGACCAGATGCCCATTGGAAACCTCCAAGCAGAAACTAAGCACAACAGCCCTTTCCCCACATGTGATTACCAGCAACTGATTTTGGGAAGCACACTGCCTCTGCCAGTGAAGGAATTATAATTATTTATTAAATGTGTATACCGCTCTTCATCAGCAGATCTCGGGGCAGTTCACAACATAAAATTGCAATACTACTAGCCACTGATAGTCTTATTCTCCACAAATTCGTCTAATCCTCTGTTAAAACCTCCAGGTTGGTGGTCCACAGTTTAACTATGAGCTGTGTGTAAAAGTACTGGTTATAGGCATTTTTGCTGGTTGTTCTCTTTGATAGAATCTTTAATTGGACTGATCATACAATGCCAGCAGAACCATTTGGTGTTAACAGGGACAATATGCAAGCTT